ACAGAGAATTTATCAAAGCTAATATTTGGAAGTGATCCTGCACTTGAGTACTTATGATAGTTCCAAGATTATTATTATTTTTTTAATTGCTAAAGGGTTTAGCTGCACATCAATAAGAACGTACCAAATTACTCTGCTTCAGCATCTCCTCTGTTGTCCCCCGAGTGGCTGTTTTTAGACAACAAAATTTAAAAAATGAATTTGATTGGGAAGTTGCAGGACCAGAAATCACCCACAGACTGGACTGTATCTTTAAGCATAGTCTAAACCAGGGGTCGGCAACATTTTTGGACACTCACAACTTCGACTTGTAAGATGTTGGTGTGCCAGGGGCGACTGGCAGGTGGGGCTGTGAGGGGCCTGATCCTTGTTGCGGCAGCACAGCCCCAGCCCCTTCCCCATCTGCCCCGAGGTGCGTGTGCCAAGCAAAATGCCTTTGCGTGTCACATTCTGACGCCCATGCTGGTGGTTGCCTACCCGGGTTTAAACTGAGACTATGGCTTCTGATCCTGTTGCCTGGATTAGCTTTTATAAGCCCTATGTTCCCTAATGGGTAAAACTGCTTTGTTTTCTACCCATTTCAACCCTCTCTGTAATGCTCCCTGTTTATTTCCTCCCCCTTCCCTACCCTTTGTATTCTAACCCCTTTCTACTAAGTGGCAATGCTTCCTGTATGCAGCAATGCTTCCTGCAGTCCCTTCACAGCTCCTGATGAAATAAGCCCTCTGCTTATGAAAGCTTACGCTATAAATCTCTGATTTAGTCAGTCTATAAAGGTGCAAAATCGGCAAACCTTGCAATTGGCTAACTTATATTCACCATGACACTGATGCTTATAAAAGATGCGAATTAACTGTTTTGGAGTCCTGTTTGCCCTTAGGTCACTGAACATCCCGGTCACTTATAGGCATGCTGCTCAACTTGCTGGCACTTGACCCTCAAGACTCCGATCTTCAAGACTTTTGGTCAGAAAGTTACACTATGCAAATTTTTTGTTTAGGATGAACCAGATAAATCTTCAATTAACTCCTGAAAGAGTTAAGGAACACTGACTGAAGGTCACTGTGTCTTAATGTCTACACTGCCTGAGGATTCTTCTGATACTACCCATCACAAAATGAAGAAGAGTATGCATTCTCAAAAGTTGGCTAAGGAAAAAAAAAAAAAAAAAAAAAAGAGCTTAGATCAAGAATGAAGAGACATCTCAATGCCTTGCCTCGAACGGCAGTGGAATCAGAAGTGAAATGGCAACTGGACTGTAATGACAGCATACAAGATTTTTCCACACTTAAAAGCTTGAAACACAAAAATTCAACAATCACCATCCCTCCATCCAACTTTCTCTAGAATACTCCAGCACCAGCATCTTTTTAGACACGATGATCAGTATCCAGAATGATAAAATACAGACCACGTTATACAAGAAACCCACAGACCAACATACATATCTGCACAGAACCAACGATCACCCTAAACACACCAAAAAAGCTATGATATACAGCCAAGCCCTCAGATACCACCGCATTTGTACTGAAGAGAACACCCGGGATTGCCACCTCACCAATCTTAAAAAGGCTTTCACCCAGCAAGGACACTCGTCCAGAGGTAGATCGCACATTTGAAAGAGTCACCTGGATACGTGAAGAACTGCTGCAGTACAGAAGAAAAACCCCCACAAATCGCACACCGCTGGTTATGACGTATCGCCCCGCCCTTGAACCTGTACGGAAAATCCTCAAACAATTGCAACCCATACTAGAAAGAGACCCTATTCTTAAAAAGATCTTCCCAGAGCCACCCATCCTAGCCTTCAAACAAGCACCGAACCTCGCCAACC